GAAACATCGGCATGTCAAGGTCGCGCAGTCTGTCACGAATTCTTCTAAAGGTCGTTATAGAGGTCAGCTGTGTGATCGCCAAATGTTTGGATCATTTTTTTTAATACTTTCTATGGTTTCATTTAATTAGATTATAATTTCACAACATGGCGAAAGTTTAATATTCTCGTAATAAATGAAGAGAATTGGTGAAATAGCCCTAAAGTATAAATTTCTAATGAAGTGAAGGAAGACCCTAATTGTTCAGCAACTAAACTACATATAATATCATAAACCACTTAAGAAGGATTCTGACATTGCACCAACTAACAGAATAATTATTCCTATTTGTTTATTTTTAATGTAATATATACATAGGGCATATTCCGGCATCACTCAACGTCAAAGCCAAAAACGGGGTGACAGGGTTGTTTGTAACCATCATAAGGTAAATCAAAAAATAATCAATACCTTGCACATTATGAAAATTCTATCCATTTTCTGGTTATTAGGGTTAATTCTAATTTTTAATTATTTTGGTTCAAATAAACTGTAAACCCCTAAATAATATTTCTGTAACTACAGTAATAAATTATGACTCTCTTCTAAAATTAAACAGTTTGTTGAATTATGATTTTAACAGACTGACTTACTTCTACCGGAAACATATTGCAATTTATATTGAAGTTTTTTTTATTGATGTTCATATGATATAACAACTAAGTAGGTATATAGTTAATTTATATCATCATTTTCTCATAGCTAAAAAAAACATTATTAATTCGTCCAGTGATAACTATCTATTAAATATGTTTAAAGAAATAAATCATATGTGTTGACTCGAAATTGTTTTGATTCGAATGATTCGAATTAGAATAAAACTTAATTTGAATTAAGATTCTAATCAACAAGTCAAGTTTGCATATAGACAAAAAGTACAAAAGTCCCACTGGATGAACGCATTTATATTAACCCTTTCCACTTGCTAATGGAAAGGGTTATTTGATGATTCGGTTCAAATGGAATCATGCTAATAACTCGAATGATTAGATTGAATTCGGATTAAGCGAGTAACTCGAATAATTCGATTCAATTTGGATCATGCACGTAACTCAAATGAGTCGATTAAAAATTGTTATTTGTTATATTTATTAAAATTATTTTGTATATTTATTAAAATTATTTTTTTATATTAAACTATTTTTGATATATTAAAATTTATGTGCATATGTTATAATTTATGTTACATTTGTATCACAGTAAATACGAGTTGATTGGAATCAAGTAAAATGTGATTCGAGTCAGGAAGTTGAGGACTTGGTTCAAATGATTCGAATCACTTGACTTGAATTGGCACATCATCAAAAAAATTAGAATTCATAGAAAATACTATCTTTAATATCAAAAAACAACATTGTATACTTTGTCAGAGAAGGACGATGAGTAATTAGTTTTTGTGATTGGCATATTCACTCTGGGGATTATTTGATAACTATCTGCTAAAACCTAAATGTCTCTTTTAAAAAACGAAATTCTGAACTTCAGACTGCCACACGGCATATAAGGAAATGTGTTTTTTTATAAATTTTTATAAAGGTCGATGATTGTGTTATTTTTTCACGAAACAGACTAAGCCCATATACATATAAAAAAACAGTTCAATATTCAACGCAAACCAATTTTTATATCTTAATTCCAAAGTATTGTATTTTCATCTGCAATTTGAGATATAGAATATATTAAATTACTATTTAATCATTCCTTTTTTCATTATTTATTCATGCTATAAGTACAGAAAACCCTCAAAATATAAACTTTTTAATTATATATTTGCTTCTAGTGTTTATCAATTCTGCTAATCTAATTTTAAATTTAAACGTTCCAAGTTATATTTTAAGTTTTTATACATTCAATTGGGTAAGTTGAGTATTTCATTACTTTAACAAAAAACGCAGAATGAAATGATGGAATTACAGATAAATATACATACATTGTTGCAAAACTTAACCTGTAATTAAAAACGTTTACAAAGGTCAGGTATATATGAAATACCCCTCATCAAATTTCATGTCATAATGGATAACATCAAACATGAAATTATTATACGATATTGTATTGAATATAATGTCGAAAAAATAAATAAAAGAAACAAATTGTGTTACTATTACTTTTTAAATTATCAATTAGCATAGATTTTCTTATCGGTAGCATGGTGGAGTGAGTCAACTTATTATATACTCTAATTTATTTCTAGTTATATTTGCTTTTGATTTAAATGCAAAACTATGCATAACTTATTATTACTTAATTTACTGTCATAAAACATTAAATAAAGGAAAAAGAATATTTGATAAAAATATTAACCTATGATTAATTTCGAATTAGTATATATCCAAAATAAAATTTGACTAAAATATAGCATCTAAAATAAAAAAACAAAAGTGCTGGCAAAATTATCACCGAGGTAAATGTTGGTTAAAATTTTAACATTATATTTCGTTAATAGTTTTACCTTTCCACTCGCGAATTCCGAGATTTATATGAATTTTGCCGCCGGAGCGACAGCATCCGAGTCCAAAGGATTAAAATCATATGTGAAGATTCAAACTTAAAAAAAAAATCAATTCTCAAGATAAAAATCATACTGGTCTATCAGATAGTGACATCGCTACATTTTCTCGCTGTTCAAAAAAATTTTTTTTTCTCTGGTTCCTAACGATTTGAGAGAAATGTACCTCGAACCTGAAGTTGTGCCATAGATTTGCAATAAAATGTTACAATTTTAGTCTTTTTACTCATTAATCATACAGGCATAACAGATGAAAGTTTACCTCATAGCGCTCGTTGAATTTTGCCATGATACAAATATGCAGATCAAATCGTGCCAAATTACTTTCATTCAACCGAGTGAAAACTTAAACAAGTCACAACCATGAGCTTTTCAAAATAAATATACAAATAAGATATCCATACGTTCACTTAAATACTTATTTTCTAAACCATATATACGCATGTTTGAGTCATGACCGGCAAAGAAACTTTCCATCCGATATTACTTTTCACCAGACCCTTCCAATTTGCACATGACCGTCGCTTTTATATGCGAATCATTGAAGTTGATGGTTTGTCAATAATCAACCGTGGTATCATCACGAAGGCTTGACAGCTGATCCGCCGATTTGACCTCTGACCGGGCCGTTTCGTACGCATCTACCGGGGTCAACTAGTTTCTTCTTAAAGACAAATAAGTAAGAAGTCTGCCGCGTAAAGTACAAGGATGAAACATGAAAACGCGGAAGAAATAAGAGACGATTCTGGGAACAAGCTTTCTGCTACCTCTAGACGGCGGTAAATAAAATGTCAAGTCAAATGGTATGGGCATCCTTAACTTTTTGTATAATGATCTAAAACAATAATTCCAAAAGTGGTCCAAATGATTACCCAGTGATCTATGACAACTTTCAAGGGGTTCACGTCAGCGAAACAAAGATGGGGATCCACGAATAAAAATGGGGGTCTACTATAGTGGATCTCAACACATCATGTAATTATATATTTACTTTATTTATGGTATCAATAGTAAAAATATTTTCAAATGGACCAAAACGTTGTAAACGGTGTAAAAAAGTACGCTTTTATAAAATATGTGAGTTGCACCATGTAGACAAGATGTTTGAACCTATATGTTAGTTGTTGAAAGACTTATGCTTGGAAAAATTATTTGCGCTTTTACACTTTGCCTGGCTACTAAAAATAAAAGTTTAAAAGAAGGCTAAATAATTGTAAGAGAAACATAATACCTAGTAGATTTAGCGTTATTATCGGTCTCTATAAAAAAGATGTGAACAGTACATCATTTACATAGAGATGTAATATTGAGGGACCGATTCTGACGCATAAAACAGACAAACGTTATGGCAAGACCATGTTACGCTCTACCTTCCATACATTATGCTACTGAATCATACTGAATACTGTCATTATGTTATGTATTTGCTGTGCATTCAGGCGTTTTACACATAAACTGCAAAGTTACTCGTATGTTATGGAGCTGAGTTAGAATGACCCTGTTATCTAAGATAACTTTTTTGACATTTTGCTAGGTTAAGTTTTCTATCTAACAACCTGAGAAATACGCCTGCTTGCACACTAACCATATGGCTTTTGTCAATATTTTGTATGGAAAGTTCTTCATAACATGACCTTGCCATAACATTTTTCTGTTATGCGGTAGAATCGGTCCCTAAACCTTACAAAATTACTGCTAAATGTTTATAATTAGACATTTGCTCGTTGGTTACTTTATTCTGTTATTTTAAATTCGATTAATAAAGAGCCAATTCTCCGATAAAATAGAAATGTTACGGTAACGCTATGTTATCATGGGTCTATCTTTGTATGAATTGGTAGTAAGAACTGTCAAAAAGCTATGTATTTTCTGTGCGATCAACCGTTTGACACATAAAACCTAACTTCACGTATGTGTCATCAATGAGATATCTGAAAGATGCAATTATGATAAAATTGCTATTTGACGTTTGTGCGTTTTGTAGGTTAGATTTTATGTGTGAAACGCCTGATGGCAAAGCGAATACATAGCTTTTGGGTAGTTCTTAATACCAATTCATACGAAAGTAGATCTATAACATAGCATTATCGTAATATTTTATTTTATCGAAATTGTCTCCTAAATGTACGAACTTAATTTATATTCCATAGAAAAGCCCAAAGGTTCCACGAGACAAAAAAAAAACTTTGCAAATCTATGATCTAAATCTTAGGCAAGCCAACAAATACCATAAAAGTGTAGGAATAAAAAAAACAAAAACCCCGATTGAAATACGATAATCCCAAAAATGATAAATTTATAAAAAAAAACTGAATAATCTGAAGGGGTTCCTCAATTTATGTATTCATGTACAACTTTATGAATTATTCCTAATGACTAACCAATTTAGAATTAAGCAGTAGATAAATACTAGTGGTTCATTCGCAAACAAAAAAAAATTATTTTCACTTACCTAAGTAGTATTTATTGGCTGCTATGACATTTTGATGATACTATTCCACTATACATTGATTTCATTCATTCACAAGTATCTTGTCGAAACCTGAAACAGATAAATACTTTCTTTAGTAAATATAAATTACCTCAGGATTAATGTTACTTAAAATTACCAAAGACGTTTAATTAAACAGATTGCATCATAAAATTTAATAACATGCAATTATAATGGGTATGTTTTAATTAGCGTAAGCAGAAAAACATGTCATGTTTAAAGATAATAATCATATCACTTTCTCAAAACCAGACAAAAACGTGAATTATGTCGTTGGTTATTGACGCTGAATTGATTGAAAGTAAGAAAATTACAATGTTTGAGTCGATTGCATATCTGAACAAGATATATATGATAATATATATTTATAGTATTATAATTGGTCTGAATACATTTCTATATTGATAAATATCTTTCCAAGATTCAAATCTCTGTTTAGGTTTTATTTAAGGTGCAATCACCCAAATTTAAGATAAGTCGTGTATTTGAGCATCAAAATCAACATTAAATGAAAACTGAACTTCAAGTAAAGAAAATTGTAAAGTTATACATATTAGTTAACATTAGTAAAATATATTCACAGAATAAATTTATTGCACGTGCAAACTCATCTTAAATTGTTGTCTAGACTCAAATTTTGCAAAATGTACGTGCACGTATTTGAATATTTTATAAAACATTATTTCATGATTTATCCAATAAATTTATTATTAGGGTCGATTTCGATTACATTGCATGATTTTCTTTTTACTATTATAACATTAAATTACAAAATTCTATTTCTTAATAATCGCCGTGCATAAAATAACAAAAAAGCTGTAGGAATTATGTAATTAACAAAAAATATTGCAAAACAACATTTAACATAATATCAAACGTATATTAAGTATCTTGTTATATTCAATATTGTGTTTTTTACAAAATAAAATAGTTAAATAAAAGTTGTAAATGACACGACATTTAAGACATAAAATTCGCCGTTTTAATTTGCTTGAAATTTCGTATCATTTTCATAGTAGAAATCCTTAGCGCCAAACAAAAGATAAAATAATGTAGAAATCAATAATAATTAAAATCATAAAAACTAATAAAGTCTTAATAAGCGCGAAAAACCATAATTATCAATTAAAATTATTAAAAAGCAGTATTCCACGAATTATCAATTGATAATAGTTCCCTCATCAGAATAAAAAAATACATCTGTGGTTTATAGTTATTAATTCTATAATGAGCGTTTATTTTAAAAATCGATTTCCATTTTATCGAGTAATGTTAAATAATAATTTATTAGCTAAATGAGGGTTAGTAAACCCACAAAATGCTTGGCTTCGCATTTTATGAGTTTAGAGTTATATGTTATTAATTTATTATTGTCCAAGTAATGACTTAAATTACTTTTCTCAGGAATCGTAATTGATTCCAACAACTTATTAAAACCTGCAACAAATCCGTTTTATAGATATCGCGTCGATTTTGCTAATACATGTGTAATTATATTTTTGTTATAGGTCTGAGAATAAGATAATACTTAAAACCATAAAATTGTATATATTCACATAGATAGCATTATTTCCAATAACCGGTAGAATACAAACTAGATGCAAATATCATTCAGCAAAAGTATAGTAGTATAATGAAGAATGTAATTTCAGTTACTGAATATTATGTGTAGAGTTTATAGAGAAAATGTATCAGTATGCTAATATATTTAATTTTCAAAACAGAATTCAAAACAATCATTATAATTTTCGAACAATTAGACCGTATAGCATGTTTTCTAAGTCTTATTTTTACACTTGAGAACAGCAAAAATAATTGCAGTATCAAGTTATAAGGAAAGTGCATGGCTGATGCACGTAGAAGAAAGTGATCAAAATAAAATACAATACACGCATTCACAAACATATATAATACACACACACACACTAATGGAGTGTTATGTCTGGAGCTCTGTACGGATCAGAGACATGGATTCCAAGAAAGGTCAACAAAAACAAGAAAAAAAAAGTTTTAAAAATGTGGTGCTGGAGAAGATAAAGCAGACAGATATCAAATGGAGAAGTCCAGAGAAAAGAAAAAATTCTGGAAAAAGAGTGTCTATCACATGACGTCGACGAAGGTAAAATAGAAGGACTTGAAGAACCAAGAAGAAGAAGATGGTTGATGACTTACGCGAAAAGAAAAAATACAGGGAACTGAAAGCCGAAGCATAGGACCAGGAAGCACGGAAGTAGAATTATAGAAGAAAAAATATATAAAAGTGAATTAAAAGTACTTAAAGGTAATAAAATGGTAATAGGAATAATAAACAAGAGAGCGTAACGGAATCATCGATTTGTGATGCTCTCACACCGTGGACCTGCCTTCGGGCAGACTGCTATTATTATTATTATTAATAAAATTTAAATAGTAAAATTAAAGTCCAGGCACAATTGAAGTATTTATATGATTGCTATGGCAAGTAGTCATTTGCTAGTATAAAGACAGGGTTAAATTAATATTGCCAAATTTTAATGTTCCAAGTTTGTTTATATAATTTTTGTTAATTTTTTATATCATTTTTTTGTTTTCAAAAGAATATGATTCATTCATAACTAATTATATAATTTCTTTCAATTATAAAAAAAAAACTTGTGCAACTATCTTAAAAATATAAATACATGAATTATATTAAACAAAAATTTACACAAATAAATAAATTTTAAATCGTGGAAAAACTAATCATCGTAAAAACATATTTACAACAGTGTTAATAAAATAATATTAATTAGTAATGTTATTACTAAATAAGCAAATACAGTGCTTAAAGTCTTTCTTAGGTTTGCATGGATCTCTTACAAAAATCTATTTGTCAAAAAATACAGTAATTTTGTTAAAAAAAATCCTTATAAGTATATAATTTAATTAATAAAATCATTATTTTTCCTTATGGTTCACAAAATCATGTTTATAAATTTTTTTGTTTATGTAATATAAAAGATGTAATAAAAAGGCAAAAATTATACGGATATTTATAATATTCATCCTAGTCAAAATAACTAGAATTCAATTCACAAACTCATATTCAGTCCTAGTTTTTTTTTTCAATTTTTACAAATAAATTTATTATTCTGATTTTTTTAAGGTATCATAGAGTAAGATGCAATGCAAATTGTATAGAAAAAACATGACTTAACAACCGCAATGTTATTTTTTGAGTTATATCCAATTTAATAAGGTAATATATCCGTAAGAAAAACTTGAATTGACTTCTAAATGTAGGTCTCTATAGTACATTTCTACAAGAGATAAATGACCATTATCTAGCGCGGTGTTAATTTATTAGCTTTGTAGTAAAAACTGAGGAAAGATGGAATATGATTTTGATTAATATTATTTGGTGCTAATATAGCACTTCATACAATTATAATACGCTTAGATTCAGAACGATTGATAATAATAATATCAACAAGTATATTCACATAATGCTTTATGTTGTTGCTCATTATTCTTTTCACAGTGCAGTTTTTATAGACATAAATGATCACAAAATACATCAACTACACAAATCAGTGATTTATAAACTTCACAATATGTAATATTCAATCATTTCTTATGTTCGCGCCGTTCGCTTGCTTTCCCACACAATTTTCAATTTCAGATGTTCATTCTTGCGAGATAAAAAAAACTTTCATCGCCATTTCTTGATGACTGCAACAGGGGCGGTATATCATTCATTATAGATTGATTATAAAGAAGAATTTTATTCATCGATATTTTTAACAATTTTTACTTTAGTGATGTCCAACATAATTCAATCAGTCAATGATTTTAGCTGCGGTATTAGGAAGTATTGTTACGTAATTAAAGATTATTAATTATTTATGTGAAATTAAAATAAATTCTAATGAAGAATTCCATATATGAGGGTATATTGTTTGCGTTTACATGTATTATGCAAATATATATAAAAATTTGAAATGATAATTCTTCAGTTGTACATATAAGAACAGTATCAGATGGAATTTTTGCTATAAATATATAAGGTGTTTTGATAATTATAAAACAAAATAAGCAATCAATAAATCTAGAAACTGTATATTATTAAACCCTTTATAAATTTGTATGCTATGCAAAAATTTAAAAATTGATCTTTAATTTTTCAAAAAATTCGACATAAAATTTTATGTTAACATCAGTTGATATTAGACTTGGTTTCTTGCATAAATAAATGTGAACAAAGCACATATAGGTTAGCACTAATATTTATACACAAACTTGTCATTAACAAAAAAAAAATTGTTACACATCTTCATAGTATTTAATTAATCAGGGTAATTAAAAATTTTTTTTGTCGAGGACAAGTTTGATAATAAATGTTAGCGTTAATCTATAAGCTTTGTGCACAATTATTCATGTAAGACACCAAATCTAAAATCTATTAATAATTCATTTGAAAAATATGAAAATACATACATTTATTTTAGGTGCTAAACTTGAATGTTGTACGAAAAACAACATCAAAAGTACAATTTTATTGATTCAGGTAAAACCGATATAATACTTGATAGACAACACAGCTTCAGACTCGGTAGTACAATGTGTATTTTCTATTTTTTGGTCAAAAATCTTTGAGCAAATGAAAATAGAGTGGAAAATTAAGTCAATCGATCAATCAATCAATCAATTTTGGGAAATACATTTTATATCAAAATTTTTCCTGAATTCACCCAGCAACTGTATTATAATTAGGTTTATAATTAGGTAAACCATACTATTTGTGATAAATAAATATAATTTTGAACTGACAGTATGCAAAAAGCAATCAAATCATTACTATTTTAAGCCCAAAGATTTTTATGGTTAAAATTTTTGTGTCATTCTTATACAAACAGATATATATTATATACTTCGCGTAAATATAAAAAAGTGTAAAATAAAGATGTAATATAAAACTTATTGGACTATATCTCCACCTTGAAAACAATAATTGAAAACAAATTGTTCCTAAAGTAAAAAACAAATGCAGTAGTCAATGCATTTTACATACATTTACATATATTTTGATATGG